AATAAAATAAAAATAATTAAAAAAAAAATCATATTGTTTCTTCTGATCTAAAAGTGTCTTCCTTTGTTCTAAGTTGAACCTCTTTTGATCTAAATATATCTCCTTCATCTCATCCATCACTTTCTTCCACATTTCTTTTTCTATATCTTCTCCTATCTCTTCTCTTAAAGCCTCTTTTTCTCTTAAATGTCTGAGAGTTTTTTGAAGTTTAAGATGTCCAAGAAAGCGAGTTAAATCATTATATATGCTAATTTCATCTGATATGATGATATTAGATGATGATAACTCAGCTTCTTCTCTCATTCGATTACTAATGTCATGTTCGGAATTAATGACTAAAATACCAATTGATGTATAATCTGGGTATATAGCCATAACACCTCTTAAATCACGAACAACACAAGGATAGGTTTTGGCATGCTATAAATTAAAAAATATATTAAAAATATATTTAATAATACATACATATATTAAATAACATATCTACCTTGCACTGAACAACCAAAACATATTTTTCATCCTCATGAACAAACGCTCCCGCCAAATCAACTCCACTATCTCCAGAGGATCTAAAAAATAAATATATATATATATATAAAGTAAGCATTGTTTCATAATTATCAAGAAGCAAAATAAACGTTCATAACAAGTTGTCCACAAGTAGTTTAGTTTTTTTTGATTTTTTTGTGCGCAATAAATTTTTGTGATACATTTAAATTTGAAATTTCGTGTTACCAATAAAAAATCCGAATTTATTAGTTAACCGTTTAAGGGATAAATAAAAAAGATTTTTCCTGTTTGTAGCATAGTACTGGGGGGAATATGAATTGCCATGTTAAGCTTGGATTTTTTTTGACACGGTACTCAGTTGCCTTCAGTATGGTATGATATCCAGATTTTTCTGATGTTGATTGTAGATCTTTTTTTTTATCTCTGATTATTTAGAAAATAATAATAATGAATACTCCTGGATCATTAGTTCTTGGATGGTAATTTGATAAATTAATTTATATAACAGTAATTAAGTTATTGATTAATTTTTATTAATTTACTTATAAAATTTTTTAAGGGTGACACTTATATTAGGTATACAAACAAGTACAATTAATAATAATGATATTTAACTAATTATGACTATTTAAAATTACATAATATTTTAAAAAAAGCTGGCGGAGGAGCATATTATTTTGCAAAAAAAGATATTGATGCAAGAAGAAGAGCTCAAAATTTGGCTAAAATTAGACCAGAAGAAAAATTAGAGTGTAAATAAATCAAAATTTTTTAGAAAATCATATTTTTATTAATTGATTGTATTTATTTATTGATTATGATTTTATGTTAGGGTGGGAAAAAATTGAACGAGATTCCAAGAAAGATGGATCAACTTCAACATCTAATAGTACTAATGTTAACAATCCTAAAACTAATGGCAATACTAGCAGTACACCAAAAACTTCTGTTGGTGATAAAACATAGAATTACTAATAAAGATTTAATATTATTTATAAGACATTAGTCCAAAACAAAAAAATAAGATTTTTATTTACAATATAAAGATTATTTATACAGAATCTTCAAGCCAAAAAAAAAAATTAAATAAATCAATTATACAAATATTTATATATTTAAAAAACTATGCAAAAAAAAAGATCCATTTACTACTTTAGATGTTAAAAAAGCCTTCAACAATATTTTCATGAGTTAATTTATAACTTCCAAAATGTTAAACATTCAGTAAAGAAATATCTAACAGTAATGACAAGCCTGGAAGCGTTTATCATTAATTAATGGCTTTTGTTGTCAGTGCTAATTTTGAGGAATTCCATAATGAGGGTTCTCAACTTCTGCCAATAAAGGAGGTCCTAACAAAATATCATGTTTCTCCTCACAACCAAAATAATGTCTCCCATCAATTGAACCGTCATTTTTTCCCCAAAAGATCATCTAATTCTACTCCAACCCATGTGCCAACAACAAAACTAGTCGGCCCAATAAAACAGATAGTTCAGGATTCCTAAATTTCTCTTAATGTCATATTAATATTCGAATAAGAATTTGTATTACAAATAGAAACTCTGTGTATTAATATTAATTACAGTTGCAAAATTCATTGTCCTAAATTTAAATAATAAATATGATGAATGACGATAATTGCATTTGAAAAATGATACCTCTTCAATTACTTCTTCAACAGGCACAGTGCAATCAACGTGTTCAAAGAAGAACAAGAAGTGAGGTGTGGAACCATTTCATGGTTGTAGATGGAGAAGCCAAATGCAATTGTTGCACCAGGCAAATATTTGTTTTTGACTTTCGAAACCATTTAATCTATATATTTGGATTGGATTTGAATCAAGTCGAATCAAATCATTTATAGATTCGAATCAGGTTCGAATCGAAATTAAACATTAGGTGATTTGAATTTCATTGATTCGTTCGGAGCCTTATTCAGCAAATAATCACCGATTATCCAGGTGCCAAATTTTTAATTTGACTGATTATCCGGGTGTTAAATTTTGATTGACCAAGTACTCAAACATCAGTTTTCCTTTGAATCTCACACCTTGCGTCTACTATTAAGCTGATATTTTATTCTTTAATTTTTTTTTTAATAAAAAAAATCTTTTGATCAATTTAGATATAATTTCTTGTAAAATTAAAATATTTTTCACTATTTTTTTTCCTCTCCTTCTTCTCCCTCTCT